TCTCTTGCCTTGAAGAGAACCGGTCACCAGTGGGAGTTGGAAGGATTCCGAATCATCAGTCTAATATTGCAGCTTTACCTCCCAGAGATTTCATGACCTTTTGATTATTTACTTGTATTCTCTCCTTGTAGGACCCGAGGTCTCAGGCTGCAAGGCCACCCTGTCTACTGCCTGAGCTCAGTGCTAAGAACAAAACTGTTCTGTTTGGCTTTGTTACATAATTACATATATTGGGGCTGCAGCTAACGATTATTTTCATAACCGATTAGTTGTCCCGATTATTTTTTCGATTAAAGTGACATTAAACCCTCAGATTTTTTAACATAAAATACTGTAATGTGTACCTTACTGTAATCCATGGTTGTTTCCCTTCTCTTTGCTGCTCTTCCTTTTAAATCCTCATGTCTTCTCTAGCTTGGGGAGAACTTCCCTTTGCAGCTGAGTGCCTCTTCCTGTAGTGCTGGCTAAGGTTGTGAACCTGCACACAGACACCATGTATCCATTCCAGAGACAAGGCAGAAGTTCTGCCCAGCATGAGAAGACATGAGGATTTAAAAGGAAGAGCAGCAAAGAGAAGGGAAACAGCCATGGATTACAGTAAGGCGCACATTACAGTATTGGTTTATGTTAAAAAATCTGAGGGTTTAATGTCACTTTAAGCTATTAGTCCAGGGGTAGCCAAACTGCAGCCCTCCAGCTGTGATGAAACTACAAGTCCCATGAGGCATTGCAAATCTCTGACAGCCACAGGCATGGCCTAGTGAGGCAGATGCGTGATAGTATTTGTAGTACAGCTGGAGGGCCGCAGTTTGGCTACCCCTGGATTAGTCCCACCCCCAACCAACTATTATCAATTTAATCGAATAGTTGTTGCAGCCGTAACATATAGACATAGTTGTTGAGGTTGAATAAAGACACAGGTCCACAGTCATGTATCAGCCCTGAGCTCAGGCAGGGGACTGGTCAGCCTCTTCTTTACAGCCTGGCACTTCTGCTTTGACAGGGAGAGAATCCAACTAAATAACAGCACACACAGCTAACCATTATATTTCAGTTGGTACCTCCGCTGTACGAAGCAGCAATGACATTATGTTATTAGAGGATCGGTATTATTTCTCAGGAGCCTGGAAGTGAAATGATTGTGTTGATATGATCAGTTTCGAGCAGCCTGGAAGTGAAATTGTGGTAGACGGATCAAGACGGCCTGAACTCTGGAAGCTGTGCCCAGCAAAAGGTATACTGAGCTTTGGGCGACGGGATGACGATAGTTTATGTCCTCCCGTGACCCTTAGAATTACTATGGGGAAAAACACTTACCGTATATACTCGAGTATAAGCCGAGTTTTTCAGCCCATACTCCTAAATAAATATTCATGTAATTTTATTGGTATCTATCTTTCCCACCCTAGGCTTATACTCGAGTCAATACTTTTCCCCAGTTTTTTGTGGTAAAATTAGGTACCTCGGCTTATATTCCGGACGGCTTATACTCGAGTATATACGGTAATTCTCCATTAAGATGAGATTTACAGAATAAAACATACAGGTAGACGACGTTCACCGACACAAACATGCAGACACGCGTGTGTGAATCTTATACCGTGTTCACATCACATTTGATAGATTCCCATTGTTTGCCTAATTCTCTCCTCTCCGAGGCTGACAAATAATCCGGATTTCTAAGAACGGCCACCTGCTTTCTATGACAAATGCGCCTCCACGGAACCATTTCATCATGCTCAGGTCCCTGGGAAAATAATACTGGCTAGTGCAGCCCCGTCTCCTGCGCACCTGGCCTAAATGACTGCTCCTCGCTCTTCTAGGATCCCGGGGGACCGGGGACCAGTCTGTGGAGGATCAGGAGGGGGAGGAGGCTGACGCTATTTAAAGAGGAAGACTGAAAGGGGCTGTCAGTGACAACAGGGCACGCTGCCTTGTGCGGGGGTCCCCGGGGAGACTACGGGAGAAGCTGCCGTACTTACGTGTTGTGCAGCACACACCAGCCGCAGTGAGGGTCCCGAGAGCCCAGGCAGGTGTCGCAGCTCTCGTACTGCTCGCAGCTTTCCACCGGCACACGCGTGACCTGAAAGAGTGCAGAGAAGAGAGTCAGAGCGACACAAGCAACGTTGTCACACGTCCTACAATATAAACTCTTATATAAAATGGATGAACAACATACACAGGGTTCATAAACAACTCTCAGGACCCATTGTAGATGGATACCTTTATAAGCCAAGACGGGAAAAAAGTGGACCTGTCATAAGATAATGTTTATCATGTTCCGTCCAAGTAATGTGTCAGTGTAACACTTCCAGGTATTTATTACATCTCACAGAGATCACATGACCTGACAATGCTGTGTATAAGGCGTGAGGATGCCGAGAGACATACCATTGTTGCAGCAGAGGAAAAGACAGACTGAAGGGAGAGCTGTAACAGGCAGCCAGCTCAGAGATTTGGGCTGAGTATATCTGTTATTTTTCACCTAGCACACCTAGGCCCGTTGCAAGCGTTAAGAAACATTTTGCATGGAGTTCTTCTTTAAAGGAGAACTATGAGGGGGGTGCTTTTCACTCACCTCATAGTTCTAGCCGACCTGTGACAATGAGACTGTCACAGGTCGGCTCAGTAGATCGGGAGGTGAGCGAACACATACCGGCGTTCTCTCACCTCTCGATCTTGTCACGGCTCTCTACCGCGACAGGGGAGGGGCTGGATTCCCCCCTCCCCGCTCCGATCCGCCAGCGCTGACTGGCGGAACGGATGGGGGAGGGGGCGGGTACAGCTGGCTCTCCCTCTAGGTAGGCAGAGCCAGCTGTCAGTCACGCAGCTGGGCGGATCCCGGCATCTACGTCGGGATCCGCTGCGGCGTCTCAGTATAAAGGGAGCTGTAGCTCGCGGTATACTGAGCCTAGAGTGACGGGAGGACGCTAGTTTGTGTCCTCCCGTTACCCTAAGGAGAACTATGGGGAAAAACACTGACCCCATAGTTCTCCTTTAAGTAACACTGACAGGTCTTGTCCCTCCCTCAACCTGTGACTGGACATTGAAAGAAGCAGCAGACTGATGACCTCTTCTCTCTGCTCTCTCCTCCTATCAGGAGGGCCGGATTTCCTCCAAGGCCTGGCCTCGGGGCAGCAGGGAAGAGAGGGGCAGCAGAGGTGAGGAATTCATATCCTCGGGTCCGGGACATGCAGTCCTGCGCGCCAGATAGGTCGTTTCTTTCTACATTTAGTGCTGCTTCGGGCAAAGCAGCAGGGCTAAATTTAGAGTGGGGAGGCTGCTGCTCATTTTGTACAAGTGATCTCGGCGATGCTGAGATCACTTGTAATTAGCCTGCTTGTCTGTCCTCCCCTGCCACCCCCCCCCATTGTTGGGGTCCTCGGCAAGGTAGTTCAGAATGGAGAGCGGGGTGTAGAGCGGAGAACGTCTGTTCAATAAAGAGAACCTGTCACCTCCAAATGCTATCACACAGGGCTTGTTAGCTCCTGTGTGATAGCAATAAAGTTAAGTGAAAAAAATAAGAAAAAAAAATATATAAAGTAAAAAGGTGATAATAATTAAAAAAGTGATAAAAAAACAACAACTCTGCCGCCCTGCTTCAGGCGGGGAGGGGGGCGCATCGAGGAACCTGGCCTTGGAGAGAGTAGAGAGTAAATCCGGCCCTGCCTATCAGCATGCACTGTAGCACACCTAATTGGCTCCTTGTGCTCTGTCCTTTCCCAGTCTGAGCGCTGCTGTACAGGGACTTCAAGAGGCTCACCTCAGGTCAGATTTGGACACACACACACTGTATCATAATATATCTGCCAGGAATTTAGCATTAAGAGTTCATCTAATGGGTTAAGAAGAGAAAAAACAATTCTAAGAAGCTGCAAATAGTTTTCATCATTCCGCATCCGGGAGAAGACAGTAGATACTTAGCCCAAACATTGCCGAGATCATAGATCGGCGCCCCACTCCACAGCGTGATCAGGAACACACGCTGATTACATTTGCATGGAGACTGGTAAATTTCAGGAGTGCCGCCGCCGCCGTCTTGGGCGTCTCGCCTCCGCAGCGCGATTGGCAGACCCGGGAACAGGAATTACTCAAGGTGATTTCCGAGCCGCCGCTTTAACGTCCTGATTAAACCTGCCTATGTCATGCCCCTCGCTCACTTCACCCAGCAATTGCTACCCGCGCAATGCGTCGGAATTCTGCGGGACTAAAAAAATTCCATCATCCAAGTGCTGCCGGGAACTTCATTAGAACGCAGGAAAGAAAAATCTTTGCATCACAACCCAATCATTAGCAATATAAAGAAAACACAATATAAACGTTGGTACTGTCAGCAGCGCACAATATAAACGCTGGCAATGTCAGCAACTTATTGGCTACTAAATTACCCCGAATATTCCATAAAAAGGGACACAGCAGTTTAGCAGAAATATGTTCACTGGGGGAGGGGAGATTAGGAAATGCTTCCTCCTGCCTGCAGCAGACTGATCCCTGGGGGAGGAGAGATTAGGAAATGCTTCCTCCTGCCTGCAGCAGACTGATCCCTGGGGGAGGGGAGATTAGGAAATGCTTCCTCCTGCCTGCAGCAGACTGATCGCTGGGGGAGGGGAGACTGAGGAAATGCTTCCCCCTGTCTGCAGCAGACTGATCCCTGGGGGAGGGGGGGACTAAGGAAATGGGTAAAATGGTGCTGAAAATGTCAGCGTAACCCGACAGCAGCGAAGTCAGCCGACTCTGATCTCCTAATGACAATTCCTCCACTGTCATCAGAGGGGCGGCAGCCAAGGATCAGATACCCGGTCTACCTCCTTAAAAGAGACCACCCCCCTTTTTGGACATATGCCAGAACCAATCGCCATTCCCCTTAGGTTCAGCGCTGCCACGTACCAGATACATTGTAACGTCGGATTTTTTTTTCATTATTAATGAGTTTAAAGAGGAACTCCAGGAATTAACATAATTTACCCTTGCAGTGGGGCCAACCTCTGCACTGCATAGGCTAAGCGCTCATTATGATCTAGGGGCTGGATTAAAGATATACTCTCCTGATCCTGAATCTCGCAGGGCTGCTAGACCGGTCCCTGCATCCTCTTCTCCCCCTGGGCTCCGGTGGTCTAAGGACCTGTGATGTCATCATGTCTAATGCAGTCCATTCATGTGCATCAGATGGAGGACTCTGAGGGACAATACACAGCCGGAGAGGAGGGGAGTGAGGTGAGCGCTCACTGCCGCAGGACTGAGGATAAGGGGAGCATTTCTTTATTCCGGTCCCTAGACCAAAACAAGCCGGCCCCTGGAGCCCTGAACACTGCAAGAGTTAATATTTCTTATTAGCTGGAGTTCCTCTTTAAGAGATGTTAATTGCGATATTAGCACATTTAGAGAAAACGCGTCATTTAATACAAAAACAATTTCTACAGATGGCATTTGGGGCCAAAAGAGGGGTCAAGCTGGAGCGACGCCGTCCTCGAATCGGTCACCGCCGGCAGGAAGCGGAAAGATGGAAAACGCGTTTACAACATATTTACTTGCTTACTAAAACAGTTTAAGACATTTTTCCTCGGAGGACTTGGCTTGCTGAATACTCGACAGGCAAATAAAAATACAATAACGGTTTTTGTCTTTCTTGCTGCTTCTTCCAGTTTTTTTTCGGAGACGCTACATTAAATTCCGAATGTATCCGAGTGTTCTTTGATAGAAGCACGCTCCCTCCAGCTCTATCAATAAACACTCCTAAAGAGAGACGGCGAAGAGATAGTCTCCGGTACCAGGCTGGGGCCTCCGTCTCTTCAATCCTCCGGAACAGAGAGCGCGAGGAGCAGATGCTTTCATTTCATACGACGGTCGATGGTATTTATGAAATGTGTTAATATTCGCCCGCAGGCGGTTAGGTAATTAAATCCCGCACGGAACGCCTTGTTAATTTACCCGGGTCCTCTCAAAACCTGCAATTAAAAGCCTGGCGTGCCCCACAACAGCGACATGCGACTCCCATATGTGGAAAGTTCTCAGTTGGCGCGTCTACGACCAGCCAGATATAATATTTAATGTGAAACCTCCCCCTCTCTATACATATTTCTTGCAATAAACTCATGCAAATATTTTTAAAAAGACACTTTTTCATACAAGTATCCACTTAAAAATTAATTTTTAAATATTGCTAGCTTAGCTACCCCAAAACTGTACTTATGTTAGCCCCCAATTTACCCCAATACATGAGGACTATGCTCAGAGAGTCTGGGTCAGGTGTTCATTCCAACAGGGTAAGTCCATAAGGATCAGTCCACAATGGTGTCAAACATAGAAATTACATCTTGTGTCCCATCCTCATCCATCAGCAGACACAGAGGGTGTCAGTTGACCAAGTTGTCCCGCTCAGCCAGTGGTGACCAAATTGCCCCGACCAGCCGGTGGTGACCAAGGTGTACTGCTCACCAAGTTGCATTGTTTAGTGGGTGGTGACCAAGTTGCACCGCTCACCAAGTTGCATTGTTCATTGGGTGGTGACCAAGTTGCACCGCTCAGCCGGTGGTGGCCAAGATGCACTGCTCAGCCGGTGGTGGCCAAGTTGCACTGCTCAGCCGGTGGTGGCCAAGTTGGACTGCTCAGCCGGTGGTGGCCAAGTTGCACTGCTCAGCCGGTGGTGGCCAAGTTGCACTGCTCAGCCGGTGGTGGCCAAGTTGCACTGCTCAGCCGGTGGTGGCCAAGTTGCACTGCTCAGCCGGTGGTGGCCAAGTTGCACTGCTCAGCCGGTCGTGGCCAAGTTGCACTGCTCAGCCAGTCGTTGCCAATTTGCCAGTTCTCAGCCGGTCGTGGCCAAGTTGCACTGCTCAGCTTTAATCTAGAAACGCGAGGTCAAGCACCTTGAGGAGCACAATGATCGGGATGATGGAACTACAAGAGGTTTTCAGTTATATATGCATTCCCGCTGTGCAGGAGTTCTACTTTAAAGTAGGGCGATTCCATCACTATTATTTTTCCTGTAGACGTAGAGTTGGCTCTGTGTGTGCAAATTGCCCATGACAGCCAGTAAACACAGAAAAAATGATCCAGATAAACACAGCAAAGTGGAGAAGAATGGAA